TATCGGTATGTGCCACCACGCCTGGCTACCAGGCATAATGCTAATTTTAAATTATTACACTCTACAAGTCAGGTGTGATGGCACTCACTTGTGATTCCAGCACACTAGGAGGCTGGGGTAGGAGGATTGAAAGCTTTAGCCCACTCTGGGCAAATTAGTGACTTATCCCTGGCCCATATCATATTTTTTGTTTGTTTGTTTGGTTGGTTGGTTTTTCTCAGGTACCGGAAACCGAACTCACGACCTTGCACTTGCCAGGCAGGCGCTTTGCGGCTGAGCTAAATCCCCAGCCCCCTGGCCCATATCATATTGAAAAAAATTTTTACAGGGCTCAGAATGTAGCCCCAGTGCAAAAGCCCTGGGTTCCATTCCATGCTCAACAACAACAACTAAAGCTCCAGAAAGTTCAACTTTGAATAAAATAATCTGTGTGTTTGAGATGCTACCCAGTACCTACAGAGCACATAGGGTTAAAATTAGATCGGCCTCCAGGTCAGCGTAGCTGAGAACCACACTCTAAAACATTTTGTTGCTCCACGGTGGCTAAAAGGGCTTTGATTCTGATTTCTTCTTGTCCTCCACCTCTTCCTCTCCTTTTTTTTTTTTTTGGTTTTTCTCCGGTATCGGGAACCGAACTCACGACCTTGCGCTTGCCAGGCAGGCGCTTTTGCCGCTGAGCTAAATCCCCAGCCCCCGCTTTTTTTTTTTTTTTTTTTTGAGATAGGATCTTGGCTCCTGCTGTGTAGCCCAGCCTGGTTTTGAACTTACGATGATCTTCCTGGCCCAGCTCCCGAGTGCTGGGATTACAGCTGTGCACCACCACGCCTGGCTTTCCCTCTCGATATGGGACCAGATCTTACTACGATGGGGACAGACCCATCCTGGCAAGGAGGGACCATCCAAACCACGCGTGGCTGATTCACAATGTCTTTAAGTAAAGAAACAGGGGGGAATTCTGTCAGAATCAAAATGGCGTCACTTGTGTCGGCGCTGCCAAAATAAAGCGGGGAAGCCATAAAGGAAAGGCTCCTTGGCATGATTCCCTGACTCTAGAGGCAAAAGCCCCATGATCAAAAAAACTCTACACCAAGGCATATAATAGTCAAGATTCCAGAAAGTCAGCACAGGAACAGAATATGAACAGCTGTTAGAGAAAACAAACAAACCACTTATAAAGGAAGGAAAGCCTGTCAGACTCACGGAGGACTTCTCAACACAGAACCTCAAGTCAAGGAGAGCTTGGAGTGAAGTATTTCAAGCCCTAAAAGAAAACAACCTTCAACCCAGATTGACATACCCCGCAAAACTATCTTATATATTTTTTTTCCAGTAGTGGGAATCGAACTCATGACCTTGCACTTCTCAGGCAGGCGCTGTGCCGCTGAGCTAAATCCCCAGCCCCTGCAAAACTATCTTGTAAAATCGATGGAGAAATAAGATACTTCCATGACAAAGAACAGCTGATGAAATTCATGACCACCAAGCCAGCACTCCAAAATGTGCTGAAGGACAATCTAGAAAGAGATAACAAGGACCACAACCCCATTCCACCCCAACAGAGTGACTCCACCGGGAGAGGTAAGCAATTAACCCGAGGGGGAGAAAAGCCAGCCGACAGGAGAATAACATCACTAGGATGAGTCAGTAGAAGCAAAAGCCTAGTCATTACACCAGGTACCTCTGGGCAGCAATTTAGGTAAGAGATAAGAAAAAGACTACTTTCACGGATAGCAAACATTTTTTCTTTTCTTTTTCATCTTCCATGCCCATAGAGCCATTGGGAGAGAGGCAGTACCCCCTACATGACGTGGCTGGATGCCCTCTGCTTTGGTTCCCTCTGGTGTAACTTTTATGATTTTTTAGCCTTTATCTTTTTGAGACAGGGTCTTGCTATGCAGTTCAGGCTGGCCTTGAGCTCACTTTGTAGCCCAGGTTGGTCTCGAATTTGTAACGATCCTCCTGCCTCAGCCTCCCATAGTGCTGGGATTACAGGCATGTGCCACCATGCCCAGCTAACTTTTATGGTTAAAAACCTGGCTCCTGTACACATATGCTTCAGCAGCCATTGTTTAAAGAACAGCAGCCAGGCACAGTGGCGCACGCCTGTAATCCCAGCACTATGGGAGGCTGAGGCAGGAGGATCACCAGGAGTTCAAGGCCGGCCTGGGCCCTGTCCCAAACAAAACAAACAGATTATAGAAAGAGCAGAGATGCGGGGGTGGGGGATTATGACTGGCAGCTGTTTGGGGGACCTGTCCTTGGCAGAGTTTGAAAGGGTGGGCAAGGTTATCACCCCCTGAACCCTTTCGCCTCCCCTCCTGGCTGCTGATCTTAAGATTCACAGAACCCAGAGCATCTGATGATCCCTGCGGCGCCCCTCCCTGGTCTCCAATACTAACACGAAGAGTGTACCTTGCCGCAAGCTGAACCTGGTATCAGTGCTAAGGAAAATACAAGAATTCGCCCCGGGAGTTGGAGGTTCATTGCGATGTTCCAGCCAGAGGAGGGAAAAGGAGCCCACGCCCTGGCTGAACGGCCCCGCGCAGCGTGTGGCCTTCCTGCCCGTCTCCAGTGCCTCCTCCCCACCCAAGGAAAGCCCTCTGCACCCTGCCTTGCCCAAGACGCAGCCCTGAGGCAGGAGCCCCTCGTCCTCCGACTGCCGGCCTTTGGGAACACCTGAGTCCCCCCTGCTCTCTCTTGGTTCCTCAAATTTGGCCTCAAGCCGTGGACAGCCTGGACCTTTGATTCCGGTAACAAGACTGCTGGGGGCATGGGGAAGGAAGGGGAAGTGGATGCAAATTGCCAGGGTCTGGAGCCCTGGAAAAGGACCCCGGCTGATGACATACTCGGATGTTGCTGAGACCCCTGTAGTTATTTATACCAGAGCCCGAAGCCATTAGCAGCAGCTCTGTGCCCATTTGAGTCTCAGATCTGCTCCTTCCCAGCTGTGTGACCTTGGGCAGGTTGCTTAACCTCTCTGAGCTTTCTTGTTGGGAGAGTTAGGTGAGTTAACCTGAAAGCACTTAGCACAGCACTTAAGATACAGGAGCACTTGGTAGTTAACTGACAAGGTGAGGAGAGGGTGTCATACCCGCATTCACGTCCTGCAGTGCATCCTCCTGCCAGGGAAGGGGCGGAGGAGCTGAGGACTAGGTTTTCCAGAGCGAGAGGGGTGCTTTGCGAGAGGTGTTCCTTCAGCTCTTCCCATGACTTTGTAAGCACCAGCTATCTCAGCAAAGTCCTTTCTGCCAAAGCTAAGTAGCGATTCTTGCCTCCTGCAATTGACTGATAGGGCTACTATTTTTTTACTTAGTCAACAAACCCTCAAAAAAACCCCAAAACCCTCATTAAGCTGGGCATGGTGGCACACACCTGTAATCCCAGCCCTTGGGAGGCTGAGGCAGCAGGATCGCTGCGAGTTTGAGGTCAGCCTGGGCTACAAAGTGAGTTCAAGGTCAGCGTGAACTGCAGACTGAGACCCTGTCTGTAAATAAATAAATAAATAAATATTGGCAAAACTGGAGTTTGAACTCAGGGCCTTTGCACTGAGTTCTTTCGATTTTGTTTGTGTTTTTGTTTTTGGTACCAGGAATCGAACTCAGGACCTTGCGCTTGCCAGGCAGGCGCTTGTGCCGCTGAGCTATATCCCTGGCCCTAGGGCCTTTGCACTGAGCTACATCCCCAGCCCATTTTCTTTTTTATTTTGAGACAGCATCTTGGTAAGTGACTTCATTGCCCAGGCTGGGCTTGAACTTGTGATCCTTCTGCCTCAGCCTCCCAGAGTGCTGGGATCACAGGCAGGCACAGCCACAGCCTGCTCCCACAGACATTTTGAGAGCACTTCTTCCTGCCCCTGTTCCCAGATCAAGGTTCTGAGGCAGCAGGGAAGGAGCTCCCCTATCCCTGTGCCGGTCCTCACCTGCCTGGGGGCATACAGGGGTGCCGACCAGGGAGATGGGGAAAGCATGGTGACCCCGGGAGCAGGGAGGAAGCGAGGAGGCGCCCCCTGGTCTGCAGAGCCCGGTCCTCTGCCTCTGAGCTCCTGTCACAGCTGGGGCACCATGGGCTCCCGTCCACCCGCCCCAGCCCACCTATCCCTGGGGCTCGGTGCGGCCACTGCCCCGACGCTGCCCTTGTAAGGAGCCAAGGCCTGGGGACACCCGAGACGCCCGGTTATAATTAACCCTGACACGTGGTGACACCCCCAACACCTGCTGCTGGGCCCCCCACCCTGTGCTGGAGTCTCCGCCTGCTTTTCACAGAGGAGAGGCAGAGCGTGCTCTAAAAATAGCTCCTTCCCAGTTGGCCCAGGGCCACCTGTCCTCTCCAGGGCAGCCGTCTCCCGGCAACACCAGGGAAAGCAGAGGGGACGGCGATCACCATCCCCACCGGCAGCCTTGAGCCTGAATCTCTCCCGCTTGGCCCGGCCTCAGTTTCCCCTAACTGTCCATGAAGGAAGGGGCACCGCAGGTCACAGTCTGCTGCAGCTGGCTGTCCCAGACTCCAACATCGGCCCTGGTCACTGCCCTCCCTGTGGCTAGGTGGCAGTAGACAAAGTCACACAGCCTCTCTGGGCCCTGGTGCCCAGCCCTGGTTCTCCCGGGGTCACTGTTAGTTTTCCCGAGAGCTGGTGCTCAGCAAGTGGGGAGGCCCAGGGCTGAGTTCCAGGGGCCCAGGCTGTTGGGGGCTGGAAGAAGGTGCCCGGGAAAAGGCTGGTGGCTGCTGCAGATCCAGGGGACCGGCCCAGGACGACGTGCCCGGACACCCACAGCCCCTGTCCCGTGTTCCAGGCGGGGGGCCAGCTGTTCCCGCCAGCCCGACTCAGCACTTGGTCGGGAGACCAGCCGGCTGGGGGGGCCCAGGCCCAGCCCCTGGGGCGGCCCATACAAGGCCATGGGGCTGGGCGTGAGGCATGCCTGGGTCCGGGGCGGGCACGGTGCCCAGGCAATGAGGCTCAGCTGCCCTCTGGGCCCCCTCCCTGGGGACAGCCCCTCCCAGCCAATGGTGCAGCCCAGGGCCCCCCTATATAAGGCAGGGCTGCAGGCTCGCCCTCCGGGTCAGCGTTACCTCCAGGATACAGACAGCCCCTTCAGCACAGCCCGGCCAGGTACTACCTGGGGACTGGGGGTCCGGCCGCATCCCCGGCTGGGGTTCTCGTGGCTGCCAGGGGCTGGTGTGGCACTGGGAGGGCGCGTGTGCGGCCTCGCCTCCTGTACACAGAGCTCAGCTTGGGAGCCCCCAACCCACGAGCTTGCCCGGCCCCCACTGTGAGCTGAGATTTTGCAGCACGAGAGGGTGGGCACAGGGGGAGCAATCCCGGAGACAAAGGCTCTTGACAGCTGGCAGCTGTCACCTCCGGCAGGTGGCGGCCGGCCAGGCCCGTGTGCATAACTTGTCACTGGAGCTGGGCGCCTCAGCGGCGGGGTGTCACCTGCAAGGGCCTGCAGGTGTTGGGGGGTCTCTGTGTGTGTGACCCTGTGTGTCCCTGTGACCTTGTGTCCGACCTTCCACGCTCTCATTTGAGTGCCTCTGTCTGTGTGCATCCCGAGCTTTGGGGTGTGACCGTGTGACTCTGTACCGTGCAGCTGGGGAGCCCGAGTTGAGGTGGGTGTGTGGCTCTGGGGCTATTTCTGCTGGTGTCTCTTTGGGGGTGACTTACTTAGCCTCAGTGCCCTCCCATGGGGTGTCCCTGACAGGGATGGGGGTGGGGACACCCTCTGAAGGGAGGGGGTCCAGGACGGAAGCCCAGGATGTCCTTGAGCCCCGAGGCCCGGTGTGCGTCCTCCTGGCTACATTGGCCCACCTGTCCTCCTGCTGACTTGGTGCAAGCCGAGCCCCGAATGGGACGTGGGGTGGCAGCCAAGGGCGGGGCAGCAGGAGTCTGCCAGGCTCTAAAAATAGCCAGGCTGGACCCAGCTGGGAAGGTCTGGGCAGGTCCCTGTCCCCCGTACCCACCCCCCACCCTCAGCTCACCCTGGTCTCGATTTCTCTCCCACAGTGCTGCCCATCCTTGGAGCTGGGCAGGGTTGTCCACCCCTTTTTGCTGGAAGGTGCCTTTTTTCTGGATCTGATGAATAAAAATAATAATAATAGCCAGGAGTTAATCCCTTGTAATTACACACCTGTAATCCCAGCTACTCAGGAGGCTGAGGCAGGAAGATTGCAAATTTGAGCCCAGACTGGGCAACTTAGTGAGACCCTGTCTTGAAAAGACAAAAAAAATAAAGAAAAGAAAAGAAATAAAAGAACTGAGGGGGTCGCTCAGTGCTCCCTGAATTCAAATCCCAGTGCTCCAAAAAGAAAAATAATAAATGCAACAAGAGCAGCCACCAGGGGGCCCCTGATCTGAGCCAGGGCCCATTCTCAGCCAGCCTGGTGCCCAGCGTGAGAGCCCTTCCCGCCGCCCCTTGGGCAAGGCTGGATTCCAAGGAGACAGAGAGAGGTCCAGACAAGCCCCGTGACCGGCCTGGTGTCGCACAGCAGGGAAATGGCATAGGTGGGATTTGAAGCTGGCCTGGCTGAGCTTTTTTCCTCCTAAAGAGCTGGCAGCTAGGAGAGCCGCCGGTCCCTGGGCGGAACCTTCATGGAGAGGGGTCCTCTGCTCACAGCCAGTCCCAGCCATGCCTCACCTCTGCCGCCCCCGCGCCTGGAAAACAGGAACAGCAGTCACCTGGCGGAACAGAAGAAGGCCTATGGGAGCCAGACACTGTTGCCAGGCTTCACCTGCATCAACTTATTTAACTCTTTCAGCACTCCCAGGAGAGCAGTGCTATCCTGGCTCTCCATTTTACAGATGCATAAACAGGCACAGAGAGGTTCAGCGACTTGCCCAAGGCCACACAGTTAGTTGTAAAAGTAGAGCTGGGATTAAAACTCAAACTGTGAGGGCCAGGTGTGGTGGTGCACACTTGTAATCCCAGCACTCAGGAGGCTGAGGCAGGAGGATCACTGTGAGTTCAAGGCCAGCCTGAACCGCATAGTGAAATCCTGTCTCAAAAAGAAAAAGCAAACAAACAAAAAAACCTCAGGCTGTCAGATTCCAAAACCTGCACTTTTTTTTTTTTTTTTTTGGTCTTTTTGAGCCAGGGTCTCACTGTGCAGTTCAGGCTGGCCTTGAGCTCACTTTGTAGCCCAGGCTGGACTCAAACTCACAACGATCCTCCTGCGTCAGCCTCCTGAGTGCTGAGATTACAGGCATGCGCCACCATGCCCGGCCTTCTTCTTTGTTTTAGTCTGGTTTGTTTTTTTGAGACGGGGTCTTATTCTGTAGTCCACGTTGACTTTAAACTCACTATATAGCTCAGATTAACTGTGAACTTGTCATCCTCCTGTCTCAGCCTCCAGAGTGCTGGGATTACAGGTGGGAACCTCCATACCCAGCTGCAGAACCTCCTCTCTTACATGTGTCTCAATACTGCTCTGGCATGAGGGTTTCCCCTTCATTACCCAGTTGGAGAAACTGAGTCCCTAACTTCCTGGCAAGACACAGGGGCTCAGAGAGGAGACCCCTCTCGCTCCAAGGACCATGGCCTGTCTGACCCCTAAACCTCTCTGGGTTCTCTGGCCACTCTGAGTGATCAACCTGATCGACCTTTTGATCCCCCCACTTCAGGTCTCCCGCACTGCCGCAGCCATGCCTTTCGGCAACACCCACAACAAGTTCAAACTGAACTACAAGCCCGAGGAGGAGTACCCCGACCTCAGCAAGCACAACAACCACATGGCCAAAGTGCTGACGCTCGACATCTACAAGAAGCTGCGCGACAAGGAGACTCCGTCCGGCTTCACCCTGGATGATGTCATCCAGACAGGCGTGGACAACCCAGGTAGATAGGGCCCCAGCGGCCTTCAGGGCCCGGGACCTGAGTTGGCCACTGTACCCCCAAGGGGTCTCAGGCCTCATCTGTACAATGGGGACCACGAGCATGGCGCGGGGGTGAGACATGGAGGCGTGGGACAGCGCACAATCCACCATCCCATAAACGCGCATGGTTATGACATGAGACCTCCTGGGAAGCCACCGAGCCCCAGTGTCCTCATCTGAAAAGTGGGCAGCTGTGTGGGAATACTGGAGCCGTGCACCCCAGGGCTTGGGGCTGAGCCTGGAGGCAAGGTGTGTGTGATCCCAGATGTCAGGGATCACACACCAGCACTGCCGCAGCCTCAGGGTCTTTCTCAAAGGATCCCTGCAGGAGGGGGCTGGAATCCAGACCCCACTCAACTGCAACAGCTTGTGACCAGAAGGGTCCCTCTCTCCCGGCCCCTGCTCCCTCTACTGGTGCATAAGCAGGTCTTTCATTTGCATTTTTTAAAGTTTTTATTCTTTTTTTTTCTTTCTTTTTTTTGGGGGGGTACCAGGAATCGAACTCAGGACCTTATGCCTGATTATGGGATCGGGCAGTGGTACAAGTGGGCACTTGTACTACTGAGCTGTATCCCTGGCCTTATTGTTTATTTTCTGTACTGAAAATTGAACCCAGAGCCTATACATTGAGCTACATCCCCCACCTGCCCCCTTTTTTAAAAATCTTTTTGAGATAGGGTGCTGCTATGCAGTTCAGGCTGGACTTGAGCTTACTTTGGAGCCCAGGCTGGTCTCAAACTCGCAAGATCCTTCTGCCTCAGCCTCCTGAGTTCTGGAAGTACAGGTGTGTGCTACCACGCCTGGCTTAAATTTTTATTTTTATTTATTTATTTTTATTTTGCTAATTTTTGGTATCAGGAATTGAACTCAGGACCTTGTGTTTGCCAGGCAGGTGCTTATGCCCCTGCACTATATCCTCAGCTCAAAGTTTTTATTTTGATTCATGTAGTTTTCTGTTGTTGTTGTTTTTTTTTTTTCTGGTCCCGGGAACTGAACTCACAACCTTGTGCTTGCCAGGCGGCGCTGTGCAGCTGAGCTAACTCCCCAGCCCTAAAGTTTTTATTTTGAAACAGGATCTCACTAAGTCACTCAGTTGCCCAGGCTAGGCTTGAACTTGTTATCTTCCTGCCTCAGCTTCCCCAAGTGCTGGAATTACACATGTGCACTCTCGGGCCCAGTTTTTATATTTTTACTCTTTTGTCCATGCTGGGGTTGGCACCCAGGGTTGCACACATGCCAGACAAGTGCTCCACCACAGAGCTACACGCTGGCCTATGAGAGGGTCTCACACACACGCACACACATGCACGCACACACTGGAGGCTGACTTCTGGGAGTGAGCGCCTCTGACCTCAGCCCGCACCCCCAGGTCACCCATTCATCATGACTGTGGGCTGCGTGGCCGGCGATGAGGAGTCCTACACAGTGTTCAAGGACCTCTTCGACCCCATCATCCAGGACCGGCATGGGGGCTTCAAGCCCACTGACAAGCACAAGACTGACCTCAACCACGAGAACCTCAAGGTCAGCCGCCCCCAGGCCAGGGACCGAGACGTGACAGAGATAAGGAGGGTGGGGAGGGGACGGAGATGCAGGGCAGAAGAGGTTGCAAAAGCAAAATCTGATGCAGAGCAACAGGGACAGGACAGGAAGGGTCAGGGAGGGGAGAGATGAAGAGAAATAGAAATGAGGAGGAAAGAATGCGAAAGGACGTGGAGAGAAAACAAAAGCCCGAACAAACAAAACCAAAAAAACAAAAAACCAAAAAAACAAGCTGGTGTGGTGGTTCACGCTAGTAATCCCAAGCGTCTGGGAGGCGAGGCTGAGGCAGGAGGCTCACCCTGAGTTCAAGGCGAGCCTGAAAAACATGGCCCCTCCACCTACACATAGTCTGAACTACAGGGCGAGACCCCGTCTCAAAAAACCGAAGTGGGGAAAGAGTGGAGGAATAGCTGGTGGGTAGTGAGGCTAGGAAAGCAGAGGGGCTCGGGAGGTGGCTGGGCGTCAGAGCCCAGGAGTCCTGGGAGTACCTGGGAACCAGGGGAGACCTCAGAGTTCTGGGGAGATCTGGAGACCTGGGGAGGCTAGGGGAACCTGAGGGCTGGGGATGGGGCAGCGGGCTGGCTGGGCCGCACCCCGAAGGTCCCTGGGCCTGATGCACGCACGCTCCCCAGGGCGGAGACGACCTGGACCCCAACTACGTGCTCAGCAGCCGCGTGCGCACCGGGCGCAGCATTAAGGGCTACACGCTGCCCCCGCACTGCTCCCGCGGCGAGCGCCGCGCCGTGGAGAAGCTGTCGGTGGAAGGTGAGTGCCTCCTCACAGGGAGTGGGGGTCCCCAATGTGCCCCGCTTCCCAAACACCTGCAGCCAGCGAGGCACATCGTGGGTGCCCGAACAGGTGGGTCCTGAGAAGCCCCGCAGACATCTAGCTGCTCCGGTCCTCGCAGTCAGTCTTTCATTCAGCAAACATTTCGGGTTGGCCCGGCCCTCGGTGGGGCGAAGCTCGCAGGTCTCATAGAGCTCTCGGCCTGGCGGGAAGAAGAGAGGAAACCCGCACCAAGAAATTAGTTGTTTCAAAGTGCCGTGAAGCGGGGCTGGGGATTTAGCTCAGCGGCAAAAGTGCCTGCCTGGCAAGCACAAGGTCGTGAGTTCGGTTCCCGGTACCAGAGAAAAACACACACACACACAAAAAAAAGTGCCGTGAAGCCAAGAAAGGGGGCGGGGAAGAGGGGAGGGGAGCCCCTGAGAAGGGCGTGTTGGGATGCCCCTGGGAAGAAGGACCCCCAGCAGGCGGAACAGCAGGCGCACCGGCCCCGGGGTGGCACTGTGTGGGAGGAATAAAGAGGAGCCAGCCTGGCACAGAAACAGTGACCACGGGCAGCAGCGCAGGGCGAGGTGCTGTGGCCGCACGGTGTGGACCTGGGAGCCGGAGGATGGCGGGGCGCACAGAGGAACAGCTTCCTTACCGATGAGATCTCTCCAGCTGCTGATTATGGGATCGGGCAGTGGGGGATCAGAGAGACCGAGGGCGCCCCTGACATGGCCCATGGCCCGGGTGGGGACAGAGCAGGTGTTCAGCAGCGGAACCACCACAACCTGCAGGGAGTGTGGTGCTGGTAGATATTTAACAGCTGCTCTCGGGGAGGAGAAATTCCTGACTGGAAGCGAGAGCCGGTTTCCGTGGCATAAATTCTCTTGCTGTGGCCAGTTTTAAGCTCTTGAGGTTATAACACTAGACACAGGGCAAGGGGCACGTCCTTCTGTGGTACTCCACCACACAGGTACGGGAGATGAAGAAAGCATTAATAATCATAAAATAATTGTGATCACATATAACACAGTCTATTATATAAGAATATTTGTCTTAGTTATATTTTGTTGGTGTTGTTGCTGAGATACAATATCTGACACCCAAAGTTACAGGAGGGGAGGTTTTGACTTATAATTTGTACAGGTTTTAGTCTGTAATTGGTTGGCCCCGAGGCAGACTGACATCACAGAGGAGAAACAGATTATGGGGTGCAGAAGGTAGCAAAGCTACAAAATACTGAAGAAGCAAATCCAAGTGACCTTAGCAGCTTCTTCTGCCCCTTTTATATTTTATCTAGGCTGCTGGGTTTAGAGCAGTGTCAAACCAATCAGTGGACTGATTTAGTATTCACACACCCTTAATCCCTGAACCACACATTCTAGATCCAGCCACCTCTGAAAAAGCTCCACCTATGACTGCGTGAGGCTTTGGGGGCACATCTAGACACCTATCATAACATTCTGCCCCTGGCCCTGGCATTTAGGCTATCTTTAAGCATTGCTAAGCTCTTGACAGTTTTAGCATTGTTGAAAAGTCTAAGTGTAAAGTCTCTTTTGAGATTTAAGGCAAACTCTTAGCTATGAATCCCTGTATGAAAAGAAAGTTAAATACTTTAAACATTTAATGGTGTAAGATAGACATTATCATTTTAAAAGGTATAAATAGGGGAATATGAAGGAGAGGAACTGAAGCAGATCTAAAATCTACCCAGGCAAACATTAAGTCTTATAGTTTTATGTCTAGCAGATGACCTACATTTTTTACTTTTTTAAACTTTTGGAGTCTTGCTGCACCTTTGGCTTTATATTTACACCTTTATATATTACCCTTTCAGGGGCACACTGCCTGGCCTTCTGGGCCTTCTAAAATCTGGGTGGAAGTCTTTCTGTTCCCCTAACTCTTGCGTTCTGCATGCACCCAAAACCAGCACCATGTGGATGATGCCAAGGTCTGCTGCTAGGCTTTTTTTTTTTTTTTTTTTTTGGCTGTAGGGGTTGAGTGCTTATGAACTAAATCTTGAGAAACAACTTTTCTAGGCTGCTGCCATTTTGGAACATGGTTTTCTGGGGCTCTGTTTTTTTGTTTGTATGTTTGTTTTTGTTTTTTGAGACAAAAAAACATAGTGAGGGTCTCACTATGTAGCCCAGGCTAGCCTTGAACTTGTGGTGATCCTCCTGCCTCAGCCTCCTAAGTGCTAGGAGTACAGGCACACACCACCACACCCAGCCTAGGGTTTTCTTCTTAAAGCAAAGTTTTTTACTTTTGCAATTTTGAGGCTGTAAAGGGTGGAGTCTTGCTGGTTTTTGTGATGACTTCAGGCTATCTTTTATATTGTGTCTCTTTTTTTTTTTT